ATATTATTTTAAAAAATGTTAAATATAGAAATGTCAGATTAGGCATAGTGAACGTACAACCTGGGAAATGTCAGCTGGGCCAAGTAGGACCAGCATAGGTTTGACAGATCTGGAAAGTTTTCTTTCAGTTCTAACTCAGGCTGGTTTCTTCCAAGGACAAGTAATTTCCTCCTGGGATAGTTGTGCACAATTGCTTCTTGGCAGTTACCTTTACCTGCTGCCTTGCTTTAACTTGGTTTGTCTAGCCATTCCTTAAAAAAAGCAAGTCAGCTTGTCAGCAAGAGCATTTTTATCTAGATGAGCCTAGTTTTCATATAATAATTTCAAAATAACAGCTATAATGTGACAAAAAGTATTTCAAAAAGTGAAAGGGTTGATTAGAATATGCTTAATTAAACCTTGGATCAGTAAACTTATTGTGAAAAAAAAAAAGTTACTTTTCAAGATGGTAATCTAGAAAGCTTTGAAATGCATACGTTAAAGATTCTGTATATCTTTTTGCATGCATGTCCTCTCACAATTATACACATTTTATTGTGATGATAACTGTCATAGTATCTTCCATGAGAGAAAACTTGAAAGGAAGAAATGGGACTGGGTAGTGAACTGATCCATGTCTCCGATCCAGTCTCCTTGGCCTCAGTTAGATTGTCCGAGTTCCCAGTCATAATGCAGCATAGGTGCAGCTCCATTGTGGAAGTTATAAAATAGAGACACATCTCATGCTTGAACTGTAGGCTGATGGATAAAGGCGATACGGAGATTGAGTGTGAACGTAGCCCTTCTGTCCTGAGGTATGCTGTTCATCTTCCAGGAAAAGCTTACTTTCTAACATCTACCAGAACGGTGTTCAGGATCTTCAAAAGTAAAACAAATTAGCTCCTTTTCTTTCCCAAAACTCTGACTAAGTTGTATGCTCTTGGTATATGTGCTTTAACACATGTGCTGTCACATCCTACTAAAGTTCATCTAATTTTTATAGGTGGGATTAAAGATAGTTTATCTGGGAAGGAGGACAGTTTGAACTCTGAAATCTAGATTCAGTGCAAAAATTTAATAATTGTTTTGAACTATGAACAAAAAGACAAAACTATTCAGCATGAAGGTACAATCACAAAGTATTGCAGCATAGGAAAGGTAGCAGTTTTGTCCAAAATTCTAATCCCTGAAACACAGGGAGAAGAAATTTAAAGCCAGGAAGATAAAGAGGCTGCAATCGATGACTGTATCATTAAGTAAAATCACTGTGCAGCAGTGAAAGAGAAGAGTTAATACTCTTTCCTATGTTAAAAACATTTTTTTTCAAGTACCAGTTGCATTAATGGTCTAATTGCAGATACATATTGTAAACTGTATTAGTGTTCTGTGGGCTAAACTATTAATAGTTGCATTAGAAGCTAGTTTAATTTTTTTTTTTTTTACAGTGCTTAATCTTAATTAATTGGGGGAAAAAAGACCTACATCTATAAGCATCTCAATAACTTCAACTTTTCTAAAACAAAGACCTAATCAGCGATTCATAAAAGATTAACTAATATTTATTATGACACCAGGATATAAACACTGGAAATCTTGTCATTGAAAGTAGTCTTACTGATAGCAAAAATGTTTTATATAATAATATTTTTCTGATATTTTAGAAGTTTCTCAAGGAATTAATTTTGGGTGTTTCCTCCTGCATGTATCATCTTCTGTATACTTCGTTTTATTGAAATACGTTATGGAAAGACTAAATGCTGCATGTTTTGTAGTTTGGATGTCTTAGTAGTTATACTTGTACCTGTGATGTGTAGAAAAATAGTTTTGAAGAGCGTAGTAGTGTGACTGAGGTTTGGAAGACCTTAAACCGGCCCGTAGTCTTGAAAGTGATTTTAACTGCATGTATATTTTTAATTTGACCCAATTTCTAACTAATGAATCAATATTTTAATTTGTGCGAAGTTTCTTTAGAATGGATCATGAAATATTAATTTGAGAAAATATATCTCTTAATTTTAATTCATATATTGAGGGCTTTTACTTTAAATGACTAAAGTATAATAATAGATTAAGCACTTCCTGCTTAAAGTAGTAAGGACTCTCGGTTATAAAACATCTCGTTCCAGTGGTAGCTAAAGGAATGATCAGGTAGGAAAAGTTGATGTTAGGCAAAAATTAAATTACATCTGATAATTAGTACTCCTCCCCCACACGCACACAGAAGAGAGTTATTTAGGTAGCTTCAGAAGTTAGGAAATGCCAGTTTTATTGTTGCCTCTGTGCAGAATGAGGCAAGGGTTCTGTGAAAACGGTACCGTGTAATTAGAGTCTGTGTCATACGGTATATACACAAGGGGGCAGAACTAAGACTGCATGATGGCCATACACCTGACATTTCCTAACATTCAAATGCTTGGTTTCACAATCAAAGTTACTCTAGTACAGTTTTTGAAAACTAGTAGTATTCGTATACTAGTAGTATACAAAATAGCATTTTCCTTGTTAGTGGGGAAGTCAAATTCTGTTTCTTATCCTCTGCAGTGCGACATCATTGGGCTTTGAACCTTTGACGTCTAGCCCTGCAATATACTGGAGACACATGTTTTTATGTTATGAGAACGAGCATGAGTTGAGAGGTGTAAAGAGCAAGGCTGTGCCTGAGAGCGTGAGCGGGAGAGCACCCATCCGTTGCCAGCAGCGGCCGGGAGTGCGGGCATGAGGTGAGGGGCCAAGTGCTGTTAGGGACCCGAAACCTGATCTCTTCTTCCTCCCCTTCCTTCTTCTCCTGTGATAGCTGATGTCATCTCCAAGGCCAGTAGAGAAAAATTCCTGCAGAGGTGTTGTCAATTCAGCTTTTAAAAGGCCTCAGCCCTGGTATTTGGTGTTGGTTTTGGCCAGCTGTATGAACGAGACAAAGGAAATAGCAACTTTTCAGAATTTGCACTGCATTTAAACGTGGGTGGAAATTCAAGAGAGAAGGGAAAGGCACTTTCGTAGCCTGAAGGCTTCTGTCTGCAGGAAGGTCTTCAGCAAACAAAAATGGCACTAGTTTTTTTATGATGGAAAGTTAGGCAGCCTAAAAGAGCGCTTCTGTCAGCTACCCATATAACAAGCTGCTGCACTTCCCAAAGGCCATGAAGTGCTTTGTTTCGAATAGATTTCATTCTGCTAGGGGTTAATGTGTTTAGTTTTGCTCACAGTTGAAGGTGCTCTGTTTTTTTGCCAGGCCTAGGCTGTGGACATTTCAATTGTTTCATGGAAAGAGGAAAAACTTACCCTTCTTAGAGAAAAATGTGCAACTTTTCTTTTTCTTTTTTTTTTTAATAATACCACTTATGCTGTATAACATTTGAGCAGAGAGAGAGATGATTAGTAGTTTATATTAGGGCTATTACAACAGTTGAAATGTGGTTTATAGCATTCAAATAAAGGCTAACTTATGTTGACATATCCTGAACTATGGCAATGCTACTGTGTGCCACTGTTGTTAAATGCCAGATCTATCTAAAAATGACAGTAAAGCTGTAATGTACTTGAGAATAAAGGGTGGGGTGAGTCTGTAACACTCCCTTGCTCTGAAATGTATTTTATTGGTCTTTGATGAACTATTTTGATCCAAGATGTGTCATGCTAATTTTAAATTTTAAAGACACATCACCTCTTTCATTAAAGTGCCTTCCTCCTTGCTTCCAGGAACTGTCATGTAATAGCAAAGGAAACCATAAAATGTAGTGAAATATCAGGAGCCTCTATACTTCTTCGAGATACTGTGGCATGGATTGAAGTGGAGGAATCTATAGAAGCAATAATAATACATATTGATATGATGTATCTTGTCAATATACAATTGAAAGCTTTAGCAGTGATATTTATATTATTCTGTATTATACCACTTTCTCTTTCAAAATCTTCAGTTATTGTGAAAGTGCATACCATGGAGCTGTCAATATACGCCTCTTTGAACTTATGCAGCATTACCGTAATGAATCACTGGTTTATACTGACAGCTAAAAAGCACTGAATGAATCATAGTAGCAGGCATACCAGTACCTGGAACATTTTTTTTTTTCTCCTTCAAAAAATCTGCACCAAGAAGTAAATCTTTAGATATAAATGCTGAAAACAAGTCTAATGAAATACTTACCTTACATCTCTCACTCAGATTCTAAACCAACAGCTTTATTTAAATACATTTGATCATGGTAAATCTGTCTTTGTTTTTTCATTCAAAATCAAATCAATCATTCAATTCACAAAATTCTGCAAAATATCTATGATAGTTCAAAGGGAAAACATGTTGGGTTTTTTTTACTTTTTTCTTTTTTCTTTTTTTTTTTTTTTCTCAATGTTCTTCAACAGCAGAAAACCCTCTGGGAAAAACTTGCACGCATAAAATTCTTTGGGATGATCTTCTGCAGCAAATTTGAAAAAGTCAGATCCTTTCTTCCTCCCTCTACCAGCCAGCATTTAACTCGGGGTTTTCTGGCACATGTGGCTCCTGATGAACAAAGCAGGGAGCAATCCCATTGCTCTCAGGCTGGCTGCATGAACGGTCTTTTGGTTTCTGTTCTACTTTCTTCCTCTGGAGTCTTATGTAGCAGATCACATCAGTGTTTAACTGAGGGCTTCGTTCTGCTTCCTGATCCTTGCCAAGCTCCTCAAGAAGGGCGCGTTGTGCTCACTATGGCTAGACTGATGTCGTGGAGAAAAGTAGAGAAGTGTCAGTGTGCAGTTGTGCTGTTCTGTGGCTTGTTGTTTTGGTATAGAGAAATAAACTCCGGCAACTCTGGTTGCCTGCGCCATGGACAGAGACGCTGTAGGCATTAGATACCACTTGCATTTGACTACTTGCACCAGAAAAACTTTTCTGTACAGATGTTTAGATACAGATTGCCAAGTCTTGCCTTATCACCACACTCTTCTCTAGAATGTCATCCCGCCTTCCCCTCCCCCCGACTTCTTTACTCTTTTGGGGAAAAAAAAAAAAAAGGATATTTATTTTCTTCCTGATGTGCTTAATAACATTTATTAGTGGTTCCCTGTCTGCCTTTTCCTGTAATTATAATGCACTTTTATTCCAGGAACCATGATTGTGAACCAGTAGTTCAGGAGGTTGATTCGATTTCTGAAAGAGAAGGACAGGAAAAGTTTCAAATGCGTATTGTTGCTCTGCTTGTAGGTTCAAATTCTGTTTCCTTTTCTTTCAATCAGAAAACATCTTTACATTTCAAAGGAGCAGGATTAATGCCATAATTTGCATGATAAGTTTTTTAAAAAACAAACCTCAGTTTAGTTACATCAAGCTAACAAACTTCTTTCAAAATAAACAGGCAATAAAACCTTTGCTCCTTCAGTATCAGGTTTCATTTGAAATAAATGTTAATAATGGAGTTCACTAACTCTTAGGCAGGAGGGTGTTGATCTAGCTTCAACTGTAACTTAAGGGAGAAGGAAATCCTGTAGCAAATGGCAATAACGTATCAGCTCTGTGATGACTGTTACACTTTCTTTACCAAGAATTATGTAATTCCAGAAACAAGATGTTCTCAGATCTTCTAGCTCAGTTTCACAGCAGAATGTGATATATTAAAAACCTTTTTAATTTTTGATATTCTAATGGGCTTCTTGTAGGTCACACTTCCTGCAAATCTCATCTTTAAATTTGCAAATGTAATTAGTAAGGTAGGTTTCTTGGTATATTCACAGAAACACTGTTTTCACATAGTTAAGTGTGGTCAAACTTGTGCTTTCTCATTGTATCTTTATCTTGCTGCCTTTATCAGGTACTCATTAATGAGTGAAGGATCAAAAGGTGGGACGGTGGCCAAGAAGCAATGGAGAATAAAAGTTTAGAAGGTTCCCCATCAGACCTAAAGTTAGTGGCTCATCCGAGAGCAAAGAGTAAAGTGTGGAAGTACTTTGGGTTTGATACCAATGCAGAAGGATGCATATTACAGTGGAAGAAAATCTATTGCCGTATTTGCATGGCACAGATCGCTTATTCGGGAAACACGTCCAACCTTTCATACCACCTTGAGAAAAATCACCCTGATGAATTCTGTGAGTTTGTGAAGAGTAACACTGAGCAGATGAGGGAAGCCTTTGCTACTGCCTTTTCAAAAATCAAGCCAGAATCATCACAGCAGGTTGTTCAAGATAATCTAATTATGAAGACCTACCAGAACTATGAAAACAAAAAGCATCAAGAACTGACATCTGCAGTCATCAGCTTAATTTGTGAGGGCATGTATCCTGCATCTATTGTTGATGAACCCACATTCAAGGCCCTCTTGAGAACAGCTGATCCCAGGTATGAGCTTCCTAGCCGGAAATATTTCTGTACAAAAGCTATTCCTGAAAAATACAACGCTATTAGAGAAATTGTATTAAAGGAGCTCACTGAAGTTCTGTGGTGTGGCATATCCACAGACTTGTGGAGGAGTGAAAACCAGAACAGGTCATATGTAACAGTTGCGGTTCATTTTCTCAGCAGTAGTCCTTCTAACTGCCTGGCTGTTAACTCACGGTGTTTAAAAACATTTGAAGTACCAGAGGATAATACTGCAGAGACTATTACACGAGTCCTTTATGAAACCTTTATTGAATGGGGGATCAATACAAAAGTCTTTGGTGCTACAACAGATTATGGTAAAGACATTGTGAAAGCTTGCTCTCTCCTAGATATTCCAGTACAGATGCCTTGTTTGGGGCACACTTTTAATGCAGGAATACAACAAGCTTTTCAGCTCCCCAAACTGTGCAGCCTTCTTGCCAGATGCCGAAAACTGGTGGAATATTTTCAGCAGTCTGCAGTAGCAATGTATATGCTGAGCGAGAAGCAGAAGCAGCAAAATATCCTCCACTGTATGCTCGTAAGCGATCGTGTTTCCTGGTGGGGAAGCACGCTTGCTATGTTGCAGCGTCTTAAGGAGCAGCAGTTTGTCATTGCAGCAGTTCTCGTGGAAGACAGCAATAATCACCACCTCATGCTGGAAGCCAGTGAATGGAATACAATCGAAGGCCTGGTGGAACTGCTGCAACCTTTCAAGCAGGTTGCGGAGATGATGTCTGCCTCCAAGTACCCAACGATAAGTATGGTGAAGCCGCTTCTCCACATGCTTCTCAACACTACCCTGAATATCAAAGAAAATGATTTGAAAGAGATCAGCATGGCAAAGGAAGTAATAGCGAAAGAGCTGTCCACCACCTACCAGCACACCCCTGAAATAGACATGTTTCTCAATGTTGCAACTTTCTTGGATCCTCGCTACAAAAAACTACCTTTTCTTTCGGCATTTGAGCGGCAGCAGGTTGAAAACAGAGTTGTGGAAGAGGCAAAAAGCCTTTTGGAGAAAGTAAAAGAAAACACCTTTAGGACTGAAGAAAAGTTCTTCACTGTTTCAGAAGAGCCCCCTGTGAAAAAAATAATAATCTCCTCCACTCCTCCTCCTACTAGTGTAATCAACAACATGCTTGCAGAGATCTTTTGCCAGACAGGAGGTGTGGAAGACCAGGAGGAATGGCACGCTCAAATTGTGGAGGAATTGAGCAACTTTAAGTCACAAAAGGTCCTTGGTTTGAATGAAGATCCACTAAAGTGGTGGTCTGATAGACTAGCGCTGTTTCCAGTTTTACCAAAGGTTCTTCAGAAATACTGGTGTATTCTGGCCACAAGGGTCTTTCCCGAACGCCTTTTTGGTTCTTCTGCTAATGTTGTAAGTGCTAAGAGAAATCGGTTAGCCCCAGCTCATGTGGATGAGCAGATCTTTTTGTATGAAAACACTCGGAATGGGTCTGAGGCAGAACCAGAAGACGAAGATGAAGGGGAGTGGGGTTTGGAACAGGAACAGATTTTTAATTTGAATGACTCAGTAAATGTAAACAACAATTTCTTTAACATCCGTGACAGTGGATTTGTTTAACAGGACTACATTTAATAACAAAAAAAGGTATTTGTCTTAAGTTACCAAAAATACTTCTGTTTGATGCTATGAATGCTGTAAATATTGAACAGTTGTAACAAACTTGATTTAGCTTCCAGTGTCTATGTTTTTCCCACTGTCTTAAAACATGAATGACTTGTGATTAAACAGCACTGAAATGAATGAGGAAATAAATTCTACAAAGACCGTGATTTCTGACTGTGACCCAGATTTCAGAAAGCACTTATCCATGTGCTTCATTTCCACTTACTTCAATGGGACACAAACACGTGCTTATGTGCTTTCTATAATAAAAATATTTTCCTGAATTAGGACCCTAAGCAAGGGAGTTTTTAATGTTCATGCCTCCATGTATAAATCCTGTGTGGCTTAGGATGTTAGCTTTAAATTTTGGATTTTAAGACATTATTTTTAAAAACCATAGATCAGAGCAGCAAAGATTTTTAGAGTGTATCAATGCTATAGAATAGATAAAAAGATATTGAGCCTGATTTTCTTTTTCACTACCTCATATCTTAGGCCTGGTCTATGCTAGAAAAATTCACCTGATAAAACTGTGTCAATTAGGGGAGCAATGTATTATCATTTTAACTGATACTGTTATGCTGGCATAGGCTGTAGTGTGGGTGCACTTATACTGGGATAATTTATTTTCTTTGCAGCATGGTATAAATGCTATAAACACTTTTTAAACTGGTGTTGTTTAGGTCGAGGCAGTGTTGTGTTACATTCACTTTGTACAAACGTTATAGATAATTCCATGAGGTGCAAAGCAGCAGAGAAGTCAGGCCCCTTAACAATGAATGGAAGAATAGAAAGAGAGGTTGGAAAACTCCTAAGGGTCATGGCTCTGTTAATGTGTGTATTTTATAAAGTATTTACCCTTTAATTTAAATGGGGACTTTGCCCAGGGTAGCTAGAAAATTTTGTTGGCGAGAAAAGTAAAATAAATAGCTTTAATATTATGTAAATATATTTAAACGAGGGGACCGCTCTATTTCCCCACATGTATTTAGTAACTGTTTTAAAATTGTTTCTTATTATGTTAGCACTTAAACTTTTTTTTTTCCCTGTCTCTCTTTCGATTCAGTTTGTAGAGTGGACTTTAGTCTGGTCCAGTCAAATGTTAGACTATTATTTCCAATTAGTTGTTGTGTATTGTAACTGCTCCCTTTATTTCTGTATGCTTAAATGTTTTAAGCCCTCTGGAGAACTTGGCAAAAAACAAAAAAAACGAAAAAACACATCTCTTACAAAGTACGGCAGGTCATGAACAGGATTATAGTTCATACTTGGCACAGAGTGGGATGACAGCCAGCATTTTTATATGAGGTATGGTGGAGGACTTTTAACAATGTCTAGTTATTATCAAAGTTTTCTGGTGGTTTTATATTTGTTACTTGTGTCTGTCCTCCCCCACAAAATCTCCCAAATAGAGCTGTTTGGGGAGGGTCGTTCTCCCTTGAATTAAATGCCAATATTTCCTATTAGCTTTTAAAGGTGTATAAAGATGTAAATGAGATAACTTTTGAAATTCTGTGCCTAGATGCAAAGAACTAACTTAGATTTGCTCTCCTGTGGCAGTCTCAACGGTTATACTGTTAAACACAAACATGCATATATGTCTTAGGCTTTGTGGTAATGGCTGGCAGAGTGAAAGCCTAAGAGTGATTTTGCATATTTGTGTTAAGTGTCTATGATTATGTTAAGCACTACTTTTTTGGTGAGAGATCTATTGGATACTGCTTGTTACCAATTTGTAGGAGAAAATTTCAAGTTTATCATCATGCCGGTGTCCTCAGATGTTTGGTTTTAGAAAGGGCCTAGCCAGAAGGAATATACAAAAATGAGAATTACAGTGAAATTTAATATATTACCAAAATGTTTATTTGTATTTTGCTTTGATAGTTCTTACAAGTTTGAGGTGTCTTTATTTTCTTTTGCCAGTACATGGTGGGAAGGGTAGGGGGGGAGGGAAGGATGGATTATAAAATAAAGGAGCAGTGAAGTAAATAGTAGCAAACTACCTGGCAAGTTTAAGCCCAGGAAAAATGAGTTTAACAGCTAATGTGACACAGATTTGGCTGTCAGTAAGCTTGAATTTTCATTGTCCAGCCCTCTGAAAATTCATTTGCATTTGTATAAAGTACCTGCACAGCGCATTATTTTGAATGTTGCTACTTTGTGTGTGCACTGAAGAGGTGCCTGTGATTATCCCATGAGGTAGAACAGAAGCTTGGCCTAAAAACGTCCGGAAGTGTAGGCTATCTGTGAGGGTAGCACAGTCAGATAATGGGAGGGAGCAAGATATAGCAGGTCTCTTTTTCTGTTACCTGAGTTCCTGTTACTCCCCTAGAATATTTAAGAAACCCTTTTTGTTTTGTATGTCGGGTTGGATGCCAGCCAGCGTCAGTTGTGTCCATTTTCACCACCGCCGCCTGCTACTACTGAGGTTGGCCTTCAAGGAGTTGCACAAGTGCTGGCACAAGGCGTACGGATCTCATTTTATACCAGTGTAATTTAAAATTGAAATCAGAGTAGGGAATACCAGAGTGAGCAGAGTATCAGTCTCCAGGTCTGAATTCAGCTCACGTGTATTGGCAGTACCCAAGTCCTGTTTCCATCTTCATCTTGCTAGGGCTAAAAGTGTGTAGTTCAGCTTATGGCTTACCTCATAAGCAGTTTTACTGAGACCAGGGCAGTGCACTATTCTCTTCCTTCTAGCTTCTTTTTATTTTTTGGTATCCAAAATAAAACTGTAGTTGGTTGAATTGATATGTCTCAGCATTCTTTTAAAAAAAGAAAGAAAGAAAAAAAAAGAACAAAGCCATTGTTAGTCCTACCCATTGTCTGTGAGATTTTTATTTAATGTTCTAAGCCTGGAATATTGTTAAATAAACTAGAAAAATAAGTTAGTTACTAGATTATTTGTCTGATGTGTGTTCATATCTACAGCACTTTATGACTTTGAACTCTTCTGCAACAAGGGGAGGTTGTATTCTAAGGTTTTAAAGCTATGCATTTATTTTCCTTTTGATGCTGTAAGTTATTTTAAAAAAATGCTGTACAAATCTTTTGGATTAAAAATATGAAGATGAAAAAAGTCAGAAGTTTAGAGAATTTCTCTTGCTTAAAAACGTGTGAAGTTTTTCATTTAACCTAATTTTCTGTTGTCTAGTTGGGTGAAGAAACAAAGTTGCAGATCTATTTTAAATATTGTTACAAAATGAGTAAAACTATGTTGTTATTGCCAAGGGTGGGCCCAGAATACATTTCAAATTATGCTATTAATTCAGATTGATGTTGATTTTTCTTGACAGCTAATTTGAATCCTCAGTCTAATATTTCCTGTTCTCTTTGGCACAGCTGAGATCTCTTTGAGAGGCAATAGAGGGACTTCAACTTTTGAATACTTTCGTGCTGGAAAAGTGTATTTTCAAATGCTCTTTCAAAATATATATTTTGTGTCAAAAGAAGAAGAATTACCTTTTGCTACCAAGCCAAGTATTTCCAGTTCAGCATTTAAACTCTGTGGTAGGATTAAGAATGCAGCTGAAAGGACTTTTCTCTGAAGAACCAATCTTTAAATACAGTCTACCTTTCTGTGTCATCAGATAGTATTATGAATCTCCAAAACCAAGATGAAGTTGAAGAGGCGATTTTTTTCAGCAGACTGTATATGAGATTCCTCAGTTTAAATTAAGGACACAGATATACATCGTAGTGGGTTTCTGATTTTGAAGCTGTGGATTATTTGGGGAAAGGACATAGTATTTTGTATTTCAATTGCAGTAATATATCAGAGATCATACTGAAATTATGGCTTTGTGTTACCAAGTCTTAACAAAATGTTTTCTGGCCCCAAGTGAATAACTTAAATAATATTTCAAAGCAGGAGAGTTTGGGATATTCACAATACTTCTCCTATTTAGCTTTATGTTAATGTTATCACAGTAAAGAAGAACTTGGATCACTTTGAGCCTATTCCAGGCATTTGGAGCAGGATGATCTGTGGGATAGAAAGCTGGCATCTGAGCCCAGAGCTCTGGATTCGGTTTCTTGTCTGCAGCAGACTCCTGGTGTGATTCTGTAGTTTGTTTTGCCATCTGTGAAACCAGATGAAATGTGGGGGATAAATGCACTGAGAGGCAATCACGTGATTGGTGACAGGGCCTGTAGAAGTACCCTGAGGAAAATGCCTCTGTAAAGAGCTGGAGCATGGTGTGACTCCCTGGCTCCCTGCCACTGTCGCAGCTGTGCCTCTTGTGCCCTGGAGCCACCGAGGGGAGTGCAACACAGCCAAGTCCACCTGGGCCAAGTCCACCTGCTGCTTCCTGCAGAGCTGCCCTCCCTGTCAAAATCAGCTGTGATCCAAACTCAAATAAAAACTCACATGGGAAAAAGATCAATAATATGCAATTGTCTGAGTTTTTTAATATGCGCATTTTAAGATGAACTGCAGTAGAAGTTTATTCAGTGCTCTCTGCCGCTCGTGTTAGCTTTGGCAGTTTCTCCGTCATTAGTATCACAATGGTCCAGGTAGCTTTACAGAAACATGTGTATGCAGGCAGGAATATTACAGGCAAAAGAAACTTACACTCATTGGCTAGCTGTAGTATTTTATAGGACTTCTGAAAACTTGAATGTTAGGTATCGTTCTACATGACCTTGCCCTTTCTGCGTGATGGCTTACAAAGAAAGGGCTGACTGAGTACATGGTTTCTGAGGGAAGGAAAGCATTTGAATTTTAATGTGGAAGTAGTATACTTTATACAACGCAAGACTATCTTGCGTTGTGAAAACTCTCTTGCTTTTGCTCCGTTTGTTTTGTGGCCTTTTCTTTTCGGCAGGCCAAGGCTATATGGTCTGTCTCACCATATTTCCTCTGAATTGCTAGCCTTCTGCTAAATTCAAGATGTATTTTATTTTAGGGGATGCAGGGAAATAACAGAATTTAAAAAAAAAAAAGAAAAAAAATCTGTGTCATAAATAGAACTTAAAGATGCAGTGCAATTTTTTGTCTGCCTTAAAAGCACATCACTAAAGCATTACTAGTGACTTCCTATTATTTGAATAGGAATTTCAAAACATACCTCTACATTTACTGTATAGTGCTTTCATTTTACAGCTTGAACAATAGCAATCAATTAAATAGATTTTTTTCTCTTTGTCTTAGCTACAGTTGTTCTCAGCATCCCTATGGTTAGGTTAAAATGACACAAAGGAACAGAAGCTTACTATAAAAAGGCAGAACACTGACAGCTTATCTCATGTTTTAAAAACTTTTTAAAATGATTAAATTTGATTTATCTTTTTAAAAATGATAAGGCTACTGCAGAAACCATCTTTAGATGAGATTCCTTCAGATTCTGAAATGATAATAATACAATTTTTGAGCATTTATTATTTTGGCATTTCCATTCACGATGGCATTGATTTATCTTTCTTCCAGAAGAAAAGGTTAGTGTTCAAAAAAGTGATGCTCCTGCCATCGGTAATGCTTCAAAGTGGTAATCAGACCTATTGTTTATACTTTTTTCAGAGAAGTTGAAGGCTTTTACCTGAAGTCAGTGTATGCTGCTTTCCATGCTTTACAATTACTGCTTATTTCTGAGGTGTTTCATGTGCAAAATCCTACATTATCTTTATTACACTTCCCTGTGTTAATTATAGCCATGTAAAGAAGATGTGCAGAGGCGTGCAGCCAGTGACGAACCAGCTTTCTATCCACTCTGAACACGTGTAAAATTCTGCTTTAGGAAAAGGCTTTTATGTAAGAACCTCTTTCAATTTGTATAGGGCCTGTGCTTAAAATTGTCTGGGCAGGCTGGTGGTGGCAGGAGCAGCCAGGAGGAGATGCCCTGCGGAGCTCTGCTGATTCCTGGGGGCTCGCTGGGGCAGTTTGCTGGGTGGGCTTTTCCAGCCATAGCAGGAGGATGGTGATTTTAAAGCACATAACCTCATTTAACATTTGTTTAGAATAGTCTACTGGGGCTACGACTTCAGTGCTTCAGAAAGACAGAGCTAGAGATTCCTCCCTGTGAAATGATGTGTCCTTGAATACATGGCTGAATTGAACGAAAATTTTCTATATGAAGTCAAAGATACTGGGGAATTGGTCTGAGCACAGTTAGAAAAAAAATCTTGGCATCAAAAGCTTAATCGGCAATAGGAATCCTTATTGCATATGAGGGTAGAAGCACAATCTATGCTGTTCTATCTGTTTGGCTTTTGAGGTAATGTGTTAGAGTAAAATGATAGTAATTTGTGCTCTTGGCTGAAAAGCTGTGTCTGAGAAGCTATATAATTGTTCAATTACTTACGTATTTAATGCTGACACAGAAAAGTGTGTTCTGTGTCTTTCATATAAAGATGTTATATAGATGTTAAGCTGCAGTTCCTATTTGGTAGCTATTTAAGGGGATAACATTTACAATGGTTTTACTTTCTTAAACACTGTGACCAGAGGTACACATAAATTTGACAGTCAGAAACAGGCCTGGATAGCCCTCTTCCTAACTTTTAGGTATACCAGAGACAGGGGTAGATGTTTTTAGTTGAAAATAAAAAACAACTGTTCTTTTTGTTGGCCCTGTTAGGTAGAAAACTGATTAAAATGCAGCCATAAACGTTTATGATAGTATAATAATTTGTATACATATATCTGTGGAGAATAAATGATCTTGATTTATTTAGCACAGTGAAAATATTATTCTATTTTTTCATAGTTGTATGTGTGTGATCTCATTTAACAGTAATTCCCCAGGCAATGCAGAATAAGATTTTTTTTTTTTTTAAGTAATTTCTTTGACTATATACAATTTGCTGGATATGTTATTTTGCCCAAATACTTGCACTCACGAATGAGAAATTAATCATTTATTTCTTAAGAGGGTGCCGCTTTGCTTTTCAGTTTTAGCCATGTTGTCTCAGAATTTCTCAGTTTCTGGGCAATGGGGTTTCATTCTTTTTTATTTTTGTGTGCTTTTTTTCTTGAGTCACCAATGAGATTTACACTGGTCAGTTTTTTAGAGTCATAGCAAGAAAGATGTCAAATCAGCATCAGAAAAGCTCATGCCAGAAACATCCTGTTTCATATGATAAACACTGTGCTCCAGATGAAATCTTCATTTCCTTAAATATGGGTTTCTTGTGCGTTTGTGTGTGTGTGCATGTGTGGAGAATAAAGTACTTTTACAAACAATGCACAGTTCTGTTTTGTGGATGAGAGTCTAGTTTGCTGGGAGTTTGTGCAGTGGGGCACACTCAGTGGTTGGGCCGTAATTTTAAATTTATTGAACACAGCAGAACTTATACATATGAAAAGAAAGAATTCAATAGCATTTGAAATCTAAAAAACTCAATTGCTTAATTAATAAGAACAAATAGGAGGTGGGTCCATCTAGTTTCTCTGTCAAAGCTGAGGAGAAGAGAGGAGAATAGGAAAAATGCTAAAAATGTAAAGGCAGCCTGCAATTCCTTCAGTTTTTATAATCTAGAATGGCATTTGTGAAGTCTTTAAAAGTAAAATTTGCATTTTGGGAAAGTAAGGCAGTTCTCTTTCATTGACGACCTTGTCAGATTTGTAGTGTAATTCCACATAAAACAATAGTTATTTTTAATTACATTTTCTTACATAGAATATTTAAGAAAACTGTCTTTATTTAGTCTCTTGCTGTCTTTCTATTTGCGTAGGTGCTCTGAAATCATGACACCACTTAAACCTATTCAACTAGGAATCCTTTTATAATCTGATGTTTCAGAACTGTGTGAAACAAACGTTTTACACACTTCTAAGTGTTTTCCTACAGCCAGTTGTAAGCAGTGTCAGCTTTAAAACATTGGTCTCTAAAATAGACGCACAGTGTTTTTAAATAATAAGATAGCGGAGAACAGGAGAAGAACAATTTATTCTTGTCATCTGTTGTTTAGTATATAGATGCCCAGGCTGAAATGGCTGTTGCTGAATGATAACTTTTACACAGTTTCTCTGGTCTGCCGAAGATGCATATTCACATATGGTTAAAAAACTTACTATTGATCATAGATGTGGGAAGTCTCAAGGGAGCACATACTATAGTGATAAGGATTTAATCTGGGGATGAGTGGATAACTTGTGTTGAGTATTTTGTGTGCAGTGTGTATATTTTCCTGTCACTAATTTTAAATCCTGTTTTACTTCCTATATAGGTAGCCTGTACGTTAGCGCTGGTGTTTGCTTTGTTATTTGCTATTTGACTTCCATACTTAAAAGTATAAGAATAGAAAAATATTATCTGCAAACTTTAAGACATGATAAAGAAGTTCACACCTGGTGTTATGTGGCTTTCTAACTGTTTTCATGTGTGTTGGTGAACGGTAGGTTGAGGATGATATTCAGTTTGCTCTGTAGTGTTACGAATGCAAGAGTGGCGTTGCTGCTAAGGGATTTCTGTGCGCCCGATGAGGAGGGAAAAGAGCAACCACGTGTGCATGTTATATCTAACAATATGAGGCAATCATAAAGCAGTGATGTTAACTAGTTCTTTTGGAGTCTTGCAAACAAAACAACCCCCTTTTTGTGTCCTTTTCTCTCCTCCCTGCCATTCTTTGGCTGATGTTAACAAAGATTTAAGAGCTCTTTTGGGAAAGAAAAATACCCAGAAAACGTTAAAAACTTTACCGATTGTTAAGAATATTACATATAGTTTTTGTGCCTTCTTTGACTGTGTGTGGGTTGGTGGAAGATAAAATTTTTCTTTTACCTGGACACAAGATCTGTGGATGTCTAAATAGGTTGGAGTGAGCGGAGATTGGTAAATTCTTCCTTCAGTGAGTGATATGGCTTAATTTACATCTTTGATCTGTTGGCTGTGCTTCTAACCTCTCTTTAGGCTGTTCAGGAAAGTTGCTGTGCGCTACAGAGGAGACATAGATTCCTCCGTAGTGTTTCCATGTGTTTATGTGCTGCTATAGCTGCTTTCTGGTCTGTATGTGCTTAAAGGAAGAGCAGGTTTAAGGGTTTTTCCCTGATTGTTTCTTTGGTTGGTTGGTTGATCATTCCGAGAAGAGGATTGTGCAGAAGATAACGTTGCAGGGTGATAAGTTTGCAAACTCTGAGACTACAAAATGATCAATTCATTTTTTGACCAAGATTAAAATGATACAAATCTGGCCTAAAAAGGAGTCAGTGAGAGTTTTCAGATATTCTGCTTTTCAGAAAACAAAACTCCTTAAATTAGGTGTCTATATACAGATTGAAGTAATTAATATTAATAATCCATTTTAAATGCCCAGCCTTAGGAAATGAGAGAATACGAAGTACAAGTAATTGCATTATTTTTAGGTAAAATTCTGAGAGTAAAAGGCTTAAGTTAAAGGACCTCCTCTTCTGTCCTATTATCTACATCACAGCAACGTGGAAAAGGATCCATGGTATTTCAGTGAGCATGCAAGTCAAATCTTCTTTTATCTA